CAGCCCGACTGTGACGCCCGGGCCCTCGTGCCGCCTCCACGCGGGGCTCGGGAGGTCACCGCGCCACCCCCGCGCCGTCCCAGGCGGGTGGCGGAGCCCAGACCCGGGACGGTTTCCCACCGCGGCACCGCGCTGCCCGGGGGAAAGAGGCGCAGCTTTGCGGCTTGCAGATTCTCAAGTAAAGCAAATGGACACAGCGGTCCCGAAACCCGGGACGAGCGGTGGAGCGGAGACGCAGCCCGCCCGCTCGGACAGAGCCCGCGCCGCAGCGCTCCAGTCCCCTCCGCGCAGCCTCCAGCTGCTGCTCTTGCCTTTCCTTTAACCCGGGAAAACGCGAGGGTGGGTTCTTGCCGCTGTGGGGCAACTTGTTACCGCTTCTCCGGGTCTGTTTGAAATACAATCTTTGCATAATTTAGGGCAAACCACTTGGAGAAATTATGCGTAAGAAACTAAAAGCACGCGTGTCTACACAGGGTTGTGAAGTGAGGTTTAAAAATGTTTCCAGCATGAAGGGAAAAACCAACACTGCAGAAATGTGACCCCCCTCAGCGGAGCCCTCCGACCGACGCGGGACCTCGCACACGGACGGGACATTTACATTTGCAAAGCTGCATCAAACCCATCCATTTAAAAATGCTCACTTCTTGAGAGGAAGTGCCGAGGATAAACCCGCTCCACCCGCAGCGGCGTGCACCCCCGGGGCGGCTGAGGGATTCAAATGCAACTGTCTCTGCGTGAGACCCTTCTCCCCAGTGCCTGCAAACCGGAAGCTCACTTGTGGGGCTCCAGTTACGGTGGCTCCTGCAGGAGACCTGTGAGCTACACACAGGGGCCGAACGGAGAAGGGCCAACGGTGCCAGAACGATTTTAAATAACTCCCAGTTGTTACCAAACAAGAAGAATAAAATACGAGCTTTCAAAAACTTTTTTTTTTTTTTTGCAAAGAAGTAACAGCCATTAAAAACCAAACTGCCCTGGCAAGGCACTCGTATTAAATGATACAAAATCTCAACATATAAACTGAAATCGTACAGGTTATTTACCAGCGTGTCCTACAGTCTCATGAGGCACGCTGATGTTCAGCATACGAATGCCATACCTCACAAGCTGAAGCTCATTTTTTTCCTTAATGGAACATTAAGCTCTGTATAAAAACAAGATTCCAATGAAGTTATTCTACCTGCTGCTAAGTCAACAGACTTTAGCATCATGACAACCTCTATTTCTAGACAATAAAATAAAAACTAAAAATTGCTTGATATCAAAGGGAAACTAACTACCTATTTAGGTAATTATTAAACACAAGATGGATTGTCTTTTTTTTAAAGTAACTTCTAATTTTAATGAACTTTCTGCCAAATGTGCTGATGCTACCCTGGCTTACAATCTGAAATTCTCACACACATACCCTTATTTTCTTTGGTACAGGATAGATTCCTTCCTTTCCTTTTTAAAGAATCAATTCAGTGGAATTTGGGGGTTGCAGAAGGGATATCCTGTATACCAGGAAATTCAATATAATTTCAGCAATTTTATTTTAAAAAAGAAAAGACATACAAGAAAATGATCAGAGGGAAACCCGGAAACGGCTCCCGCCACCTCTGCAGCCCGTTCCTGCACCTTCCTTCCCTGTGCCTGTGCTTTTGAGAAGCTAAAAGCAGAAATAAGAAAAACGACAGAAGCACATGTGCATGCAGAATTGAAGCTAACGTTATAGAACCCTGACCTTCTGGTCAATGAGTAGCTAGTTCAAATTCCAGAGCATCTTTCTCTTAGTAACAAATTTTAAAGCATGAAACCTAAGTTCTGTGTACGTAAATCAACTTGAGAAGGAGTATGTCATTTACTCCACCCGAATCACTGGGATTTGTCGAGCAAGTTCTGGTCAGAATTATGGTTTCCTGTTTTCTTTTTTTGTTAAGATCTTAAAGCATTAGACACAAAGTCAATATCCATGCATCTCAATTATCAGTTTCCCCCGAGTTCTTAAACATATGACAATATATCCACACAAAAAAGAAAAAGCTTCCAGCCTTCTGCCCCTATCAAAGGCCAACCCGTATCTTTGTAGACAGACTTCCTGCAAGAAGGGAGGGCTGAAGGTTTGAGGAGTTGGTCCAAGTATAGTTCATAACAAAAGTAAATCACTCTTTAGATTTATCACATTGTTCAAAAGTAAACAAACTGGGTTATATTTGCAGCAACTCAAAGTGGAGCATAAATTTACATGATGTGTTTATTCAGCTCACTAACGGGAGGCTAATATTACATTAATTTATTTTCTTCCTGTCAAGAGTTATTTACATATATACAGTATTCCAGTTAAAAATAAAATATAACATCATAAACCATTTTATAAGCATAAGGGAAGTTAATACGCAGGTCTACTGAAGACTTGGGAACTTCTAGTAAACTACGTGATTGGGGCCAAGGGGACGTTAAGTAACAGAGTCTGTCACGGAGGAAACACATCGATGGCAGGCAGGCAGACGGCACGGACGCCCAACGCCCATCAGTGCCCTGGGCCCACAGTCTCTCCCCACTCGCGCCTGGAGGGGTAGGCAGCACAGCACCGGCCTGGCCGCCTGAGTAAGTTGCTGGCTGGAGCTCCGTCCCACAGCCGCAGACAGGAAAAGGAGCAGTCATTCGAGCGCATGGCTGAGCAGGTCACTCTTGTCCTTCAGCGGCTGTAATACTCAGTTCGCCTGCAAGTTCCAAGCCACGTGTGCCTAGCATGAAACCACCAGACTGCAATTCATCACTGAGGACTTAATTTTGCTTTTCCAGGCCAGCAGTGTCTGTTATATTCTGCTGCTTTGGTTCTAGGGTGGCAAAAAAGGAAACGTCCTGGTCCCGGTCAGACTGCAAAGCCAAAACAGTCTCTTTAACGACTTCAAGATGAGGGTTTCCAGCATTTCTAAAATATGCTAAGGAAAGAAAACGAGTGTGAAACATGTGCCATGAACTGTGTTCTAAAACATACTCTAGTTTTGTCTTGTTTTGGTTGTTTTAAACTGTGTATCAGGAAAAGAAATCATTTTTGGTAGAACAGTCACATGCATAAGTCCTTTCAAATAATAAAATGTTTTACTCAAAGTCTTAAATGTTAAAGATGGACTCCCAATGGCTGTGCACATTTTTAAATGTACAGTAACTGGCTGGGCGTGGTGGTGCACCCCTGTAATCCCAGCACCTGGGAGGCTGAGGCAGGAGCATCGATTGAGTTCAAGGTCAGCCTGAGCTACACAGTGAGACTCTGTCTCCAAAATAACAAACAAAAAATCACAGTCACTAAAAGTTGTTAGTATCTTTTTTTCCCCCCTAAAACAAAAGACCTGGCAATGTAAGGAATACAAGAGGAGGGACAGATTGTTGGCAGGGAATGAAATGGCAAAAAAACACATAAGCAGGACAGAGTTTAAGCTGTTTCCTATACTGTGGTGCAGAAAAAATACATCCGAAGAACACAGCTTACATTAGGTCTTGCTCAGGTTTAAAATGACCAACTAGGCTGGGTTATAATGTCTTCTCACCAACTACAAAATGATATCATTTAATGGCAGCTAAGGCTTAAGCTTGTTATCTTTCCTAATTTTTCAAATCATAACTTAAAACTTACAAATTTCGCCAAGTATAGCGGTGCCCTCCTGCAATCCCAGCGCTCTGGGAGGCTGAGGCAGGAGAACTGCAAGTTCAAGCCCAGCATGGGCAACTCAGCAAGATCCGGTCTCAAAAAAAAAAAAAGTTGGGGCTTTAGCTTAGCGTGAAGGCCTTTCATTCAATCCCTAGTACTGACTGCAGAAACGAGAATAGAATTTATAGGTCTCCGTCCTTCCTAGAATTCTCTGAAGACTGAGTATCATGCATTTCCTTAGTCATTTTACAGTACTATACATAAAAGTATATTAATTTATGTAACACATCTTAAGCCTGCTCTCAGACAACCTGCCCTAATTTCGTAGAGGACATCTTGCCGCTGCCAGAGTTTACTGAGAACGTGTACCCTTTGCCATCAAGGTCTGTCGCAGAGCCTTGGCCAGCAGGACCCTCACGTTGGGCACAGGATCTGACTTGAGGCTCAGCAGGCTGGGAAGCAGGTGCTCCACAAACTGGTCCACCGGGACACACTGCTCACTCACCACGGCCTGCAGCGACGGAAAGACAGCCACGGAGCGGCACTTACCGGGTGCGCTGACGTCAGACACTCCTCCCGTCCCAAAGCAGTCACGTCAGAGCCGGGCTTTGAGGGGTGTGTGTCGGGAACCTCTTAAGCTCCAAACATTGAATCTGGCTAGAAGCCTCATTAATATGAACACCGTGAATACTTTTTACATTTCTTACTATAATTCACCACCAAGTACTGGTTTATGAGTAGTGTAAGAACTGCAGGGAAAGCATAGCCTTTGGGGTGAGACCTCATCTGCTCAGGCTCAAAACCTTACCTGGCCACTGACGAGCTACACGGCCCTGAGTAAGTGGCTTATCCTTTCTACGCTTTGGTTTCCTCAGTGGTACAGTGGCAGGTCCTTTATGCAGAGCAGCTGCACCAGTCCTGCCATGCTGCATTCTGCTGACCAGGAAGGGCTCCGAATCTCACCTCTGCGCTCACCAGGACACAGGCTCTGAGGGCCAGGGCCTGGCTATCCGCCAAATCCTGAGCCTCGCCCTGGTGCCTAGAGCTCTGTGAGCAGCCTACTGCCAATTTCAGCATCTGCACGCTGCTCCTCTGCCTACAAAGCGTTTTCTGTACATTCCCTCACTTAATCCTCACAACTAACCTTAGGGATCAAAATTAGCCTCGTTCTACAGGTCAGAAAGTTCTGGTCTAATGTGGTCATCATATCCAAAGGTCTGCCAAGAGGTGGCAGCAGAGTGGGATCAGAGCCAGGCGCGTGGCTTCTGGGTATGCAGGGCAGCAGTGTATGCCCTTCCTTGAGCTGAGGCCAGCCCCAGTGTGTGGCCAGGGTCCTGTGCCTGAAACGGTGCCTGGCACCCAGCACACAGATCGTTGCTACAGAGCCACCCCCTCGTCATGAGTAGAACTGCGTTCAAGGCAGGTGGGGTTGACTCCAAATCTGCCCTGTACTCCGCAGCGACAGCTACCTAGATCCGTGCTCAGATATTGACCAACAAGACCCGTCAGCAGTATTCTTGGCTGTGGGGTACCCTTTACTTTGTGGGTTTTCTAGATCTTTAATAATTAATTAATGAGAACAACAAAAAGATTCTGTTAATTTTTCTTGAACAAAATTAATTGATGTTATTTCCTTTTGTTTCCAGATTTTTTTTTATCTCAAAGAATGAAAAAATAAAAGCAAAAATATTTCATTTATCATTTGGCATCCTGACTTTCTTCACAAAAGGCTATCCTGTCAAGCACATGGTTTGAAATGTGGCTCTTCTCAAAGAGGGTGGCCATGGGCTGGGGATATAGCTCAGTGGCACAAGTGCCTGCCCAGCAAGTGCAAGGTCCTGAGTTCGATTCCCAGTACCAAAAAAAAAAAAAAAAAAAAAAAAAAAAAAGATGGCCGAAGTACCCCGCGATGCCCCTCTAGCTCGACAGGGGGCGCTCTGCAGTCCTCTCGGAATTGCGCCAATTATGTGGGGAGAGAAAGGAGATCTAGAGTCTGAGGTCAGAGAGCATCCACCCATGGCTTCGTGGTACTGTCAGCACATCTGGATATACATTATACCATTCCCTTTTCCTTTGTATGTGCTGGAAAATGTGTATGATGAAACATTAAGACAGTTAAAATAACTTGAGCAGAAAAAACAAATCATGGCTTTATACTTCCTGTGTGATCCTGAATAAGTTACTTAACCTCTCTGGGCTTCAAATGTTTCATCTAAAACAACAATCCAAATGTAAATGAGTATACCATGCCCAATACATCGGAGCTGGTATACAGAATTAGATGTTGGTACCCTGGATGCTTGGCATTCAAGAAACGGCAGCCATCATCACCGCCAGTGTCCCCAGCCAAGCAGAAGTCTTTCATTTCCAAGATGATTCAGCAGAGAGGATGATGAGTAGCTGGATGAGCTGGCCTGGACTGAGGTTAAGCGGTCTCTGCCTTGCCTCCCTGTTTCCCCCTCCCCTGCAGGGCCACCGGCTGGTAAGAGGAGTAGGCAACGCCTGGCCCAAGGCACGACAGGTCTGACCGTGGTCTGGACGGCAGGGATGGGAGAACTGGCCTGGTTCACACAGCCGTCTGCAGACAGAGGGTGCCCAGCACAGTGCAATTGATCAGTCACTGTCCGTGCCAGCCCCGGGCACGGCCCTCCCCTCACTGGCATGGTCCCAATCTCCTACGGGAGAACAGTGCTGGGGAAACCAGGGCTCACGTTCCTGGCCAGTGCCCAAGGGCTGGAGTCTGAAGACATATCACACAGTAAACGCAGCCGCACGGCAGATTCTCCCCAGCCTTCCTAACCTGACAAATGAAAGCGAAAGCTTGCCTGCCGACCCACTTCGAGCAGTGCCGGAACCGTATGATGAGTTCATTGATGAAATTTAACCCCAATGCACTTGCACTGTTCGAATAGAACTTCTGCAGAATTGCCACAACCTACGAAAAATATCAGAAGAGCAAATTTAAATCAGTGCCATCCTTGTGAACTATGAATGCTACTCTCCATGGAACTGCAGTTTTATGCACCCTTCTACCTTTAAAATAAATTGATAAGCATGAGAGAAAATGATTTTTTTCACAGTAATCATTAAAACACAGAGAAAAATATGTTTAAATATATGGTAGTTCATGTAAAACCCTTCATAAAAAATTATCCAAGGTACTGGTATTAGCAAAATATATTAAGCTAATCTCTCAAATTTTAGAACATATTCCTTTGCATAACTGAACTATCAGCTTTCAAAATATGTCATTTTTATAAAATTTGAATACTATCAAAGTATCTTAAAATCAGTATTTTCAAATGAGATGGTCTTTGTCAGTATTTAGCTAGTATAAAGCCACATAAAACAGGATCAGCTTTTCTATACTGGAGTTTTTGCTTACTCAACTGCCACTAAACCAAGCTGTAGGTATTTTTTTAAAAACCAAAGCACTAAGCAATTATTTAAAGGATTCGATATATAAAATGATTTATCTGCATCATTTATTTCCATCACTGAAGCATACAACTTAACAAAGAACCTGCCCTGTAATTTGACACAATAGAGTTCTTAATTTTAAAATTAAAAAGCCCATTTTGTAGGTGAACTGAAAAACCAGGTCCACAAAAAAAAGGAGTTAAAATGGGACATCCATAAACATTCCTATTTAAAACTCAGGGACACAAAAGGCAGTGATTCCTTACTAGTTTGAAGGAGATCCACCGAACTTCAGAAACTTTATCTGCACATAATCTTAAGGCAATATGCATTAAATAATCATAAACATCATTGGGGTTATAGAGTTCCAAAATCAGTATCAGCTGTCTGAAAGAAAAAAACAAAATTATTTTTGGTCCTAAAAACACCTTCTCGATTCCTCTTTGCTATTTCCTCCCACAGATAAAAACAGCCAGGCTGGGAAATAAATTGAAGACCTGGCAGGACTTCGGGCAGAAAGATGCCAACGGCAAGTAAGTTAAGTGAACCGGCCGTATGAAGAAATATGAAAAAAAAAAAAAAAATTAATTCACCATATATTCATATCAAACAAAAAGGAAATAAATTAGCCTCCGTAAAATAGAGGCTGAGAAATCTAGGAACATAAATTTAATATTTCAATTTTGGGTTATCAGTTGAAAAGCACCTAATTTTTTTAAAAGCTCAATTAAACATAAAAACAGCCCAAATGCCGAAGGTCCCCAAAGCGACGGAGGACGGGCACAGCCGAGCGGCTCCGGCCGCCCGGGCGCCGCAGCCGCCGCAGCCGCCGCGAACCGAGCGTGAAAGCGCGGCGCTGCAGGCGGCTGCCGGCTCCGCCGCTCGGCTGTCAGCCTGCGAGGTCCGCTTGCCGAGAACCGAGCGCGTGTGCTCTCCCTCCGACAGACAAAAGGGAGAAAGGCGTTGTGACAGCTGGCCGAGGAAACCCACTACCAAAGCTCTCGCTATTTTCTAAACGGGGCTGGGGGAGAAGGGCAGGAAAATAAATGGCATGATTTTCATCCAGGCAACCAAAGGAAATGAAAAGAGATGGGGAGCGAGTTACAGCCAGAAGCCGGGAGTGCCGGTGAATACTTTCATATCAAAAAGCACTGTTTTCAGAAAAATGATACCAATATCATGGGCACGGGAGCACAGAATTCTTATCGGCCGCTCTGGCTTCAATAAGCACGGCAGAGATGGAAGATAGGAGTGCTTGCGGGGAGATAACGGCGGCGATGGAGCCGGCATCTCCCGGGAAGCGGTCAGCCCAGCCGGGCCGGCCACGAGGCCTCCCGCAGCCAGCCGCTAGAGGTCGCAAAGCAGTCGTGGAAAACCTGGGCCTGTTTTTCTCCATTCTTCTGGAATAGTATGCCTGCAACACAGCATAATGACTAAACCTCAATCTCTCAAATTAAGCATAATGATTAAAGCTCGCAGCAAAGAGAAAATCTTCCAGCGTGCCCCTGGCATCAGCCAAATCATATCCTGAATAGCTGCAAAAGCCTGATGAATTTCTTTGGGGAAGACAATTATTTGAGATTTCTAGTTGGGGATAAGAAAAATGAAAAGGTATCAAAATGAATCTCAACAAGGCGGAAACTAAAACCCAAACAACCATCAGTACAAACAAATCCACTCCCTATAATGAAAAGGACATTATACACCTTGGGAGGGGGAGTTATTTTAAACAATACTGTCTAAAATCACCAGGACCTACACATTCCTTTTCTCAGCACAAGATGGAGTTAAGTAACTCCTTCCCACATGAAGTGATGCACAGATAAGAGCTACCTTGGGCGACATTTTTATTTAATAATCGTCTCATTTGGGTTAGACCTTTTCAGATCTCTCACTGTCGCCCAATTTGCTTTAGAAGCTGAAGTACATAAAGCACGATGTACCCTACAGAGAGGATTGCGCTCAGAATGTTCAAGAAAGCTTTGCAAAAACTGCTCCGATTAATAGGAAAATATTGAAGAGTGGGTGATTCATCTTTTATTTGGTTCAAATAAATTGCCCTACAGAACAGAAGAACACTCTAATTCCAGAGTGACTGCAGCCCTGTCTTCATGTGAAAATGAATGTCTCCCCAGAGACTGTGGTATCTGTAATGTAGAGTTTTGAAATTCAGTCTATACCTTAATAAAACATAATCTCTTTATCTAAAAGAACATTATTACTGCTGGTATAGAAATCAATTATAAGGTGGGGAAATTAAAAATTATTCTTTCTGCTCTGCCTTCTCTGAGCCCCAAGCAGCCTTTTACTTACTCTGCTAGTTCATACCGAAACCTCCAGTTCCTGTTGTTATCAGTCACTACAAATTCTTGCAGCTGATAGAGATATTCTCTCCTCTTGTCTTCACGGAGCAACTATTGTCAAAAATGTATATATATGAGTAAAACACATGCCTCAAAATGAACCCAGTGTCCCCCTCACTCTGCTTCAGATTACATATCTGTCGTTAGCAACAACTCGGCACTGCCTGCATCGCTTGCATCTATGGCCGGTGGGACTGTAAGCTAACAACTGGCTCTGACAGACATCAAATGCACCCTGCACGCGCCCAGCCTTTTTCCTGGTGGGTGTGTGTACGTGTGTATTCCTACACACCCCCTGGGACCTCCTCCTCTCATCATTTCCCCGTGAAGCAGCACGGCTGCGTGTTCCGAGACCGAGGCCACGGCTGCTGCTCGGCTGTGATGGCTTCTGCAGCAGGAAGGGGAGTCTGCTCAGTGCCCCGTGCACCACAGTCCTGCAAGGGCAGCTCTGGGTCAGGTGGGTGCAAGTAACCAGTTTCTCTAGGTCATTTCTAAACTCTGATTTTTATACTCATCATTCCTTAAGGACAAGAAAAAGAAAACAAAATACAAGAAGGGAAGCAGCAACATGCTGCAGAAAAAGCCCTTCCTGCAGAACTGAGATTGGACTTCAGTCTAGGCTCTTCCCTGCATGACCTCTGGGCAGTCAGTGACCAGCCAGGGTGCTGGTTTCTACCTCCACAGAGTGTGCTGGGTGATGCATCTACCACCTTCTGTAGAACTGCCCCTCTAAAGGACAGGAGGGGTCGAAGGAAAGAGAAAAATATCTCCCATCAGTGAAAGGACACCCACTTTAAAATATGGGGTGGTGCATTTCAACTGACGAAATCAGGCAACTGCATTTTTTTCACTGATATTATACCTATCGAGGTTTAACAAAACTGGCTGGAAAAGGACAGCTTTTCTGCTTTGCTTTTAACCCTTCTGCCTACCTTTAGAAAATCATACAGATGTTTAAGTACTCCTATGCGTACTTCATCCAGATCCTTTAAAAATCCATTGAAGATGGGCACCAGGTCAGCTGCTGTCAACTGATCCCCGAGAATCACAGCCAGCTCGTGAATAGAGAAGGCGAGGGTCCGACGGACCTTCCACTAGGGGTGCACAGCAGACACATGAATCAGAACAAGCAAGTGTAATTCAACATCCCTAACATCGTACGTGGCATTTCTGGAGCAAAATGGACGCTGCCAGGCGTCGGCCACTTAAAGCTCCATTTCATCAGAGAGCATGCCAATTTGCATGCACATGAAACTGAGGTCAACAAGCTTACTGCAGTAGCTTCCCTTTGCCTCCTAATAAAATAACCACCTGCCTCTGAAATGGCTGCTTCTACCTGAACGTCGGAAGCCAGTGTTTCGTAGGTGCCTTTCAGACAGTGCCAGTTCTGCCTTCCCAGGGCCAGTGCCACACCGGGCAGGCTGTAGGCACACTGTTTGGCTATGTCAGTGTCCACAGTCTGGGCTCGAGCAGGGTCTGTCATTGACACGAACTCATCTAGCAGAGGCTGAGGAATTACATCCTAGGAAACAGGAGAAAAAGGAAAACATCAGGTTTGTAGGAAATAACATCGAAGAGAGGAGTCAGCTCACGAAAACAAGGACTATGGAATTTCAAGGTGAGAACAGCAGAGCAGTACTATGAGAGGAGCAAGAGGTCTACCTAAGTCAAAGGGCTTTGGGCTGACGAGCTTGTTTTTACCCGGGCCCTGGAGTTTCAACCTAATGAAGTTAATGCAATCCCTAGTCTCATCTTTTCTAGACTGGTACATCTAGCATCACAGGAAAGAGTCTAGGCTAATAGTGGTGAACCTGTGGCACGCACGCCTCAGTGGGCTGTTTGCATCTAAAAGGTTCACCGTCAGTGGTCTAGGCAGTACCATCTGCTCAGTGTGCTCACCCAGCTCAGGAGTGTGGCGATGTCCTCTCTCTACTTACATCTGCACAAGAATCTACAGCCCAAGATCTACACTCAGGACACTGCTGTTTTTCCAGCTGATGGGATGTCTCCTTCATAAGACCTTACCTATTCATGTTTATTGCTGTAAAAGCAATGCATCATGATCATTTAAAATATTTAAGGGAAATTACTCAGCACAAGAAGCCAATCCATAAGAAAGAACAAAATCAAACACAGTTCCACAAAAGAAGCTGTCAGCTTCTTCGACCAAAAAAAGGTGGGGGTAAATGATTCATATGCACAGACTCTAAACATCAACGTTAGATGTGAAAGTTCTTCTCTTACCCTGTTTAGTTTTTATTAAAATAGTACACAGGATTATTCAGAAGACTTTAAACAGAACTTTAGAATTTATTTGTTTAAGTTAGAGAGGAAACATTAGTAACATGGATTGTGAACAAATACTGCTAGAAAAATATCGGGCTTCAACAATTTTTTTTTTTTTTGCAGTACTGTGAATTGAACCCAAGACCTTCATACTGAGCTGTGTCTAGATTTCTAGCTTTTTTTTTTTTTTTTCCTACAGGATCTTGCTAACTCACTGCCCCCAGCTAAACTTAAACTTGTGATCCTCCTGCTTCAGCTTCCCAGAGTATTTGGACTAACAGGCACATGCCACCACACCCAGCTTCAATGGCCATTCTTAAATCTAACTTTCAGAAAATACAAAGGTTTGAGTTGCTTTTTTTTCTTTTCAATAACAAACCTGTAAATTAGATTTATTCTCTTCAAGTACAGTTGGTTCAAGCTTCTGCTGAGTCTCCAAATGGTCACTGGTTCCATTTTGGGCATCACCAGGACCCTACAAAGTTGAGTGACACATTATCGATTTATGACAAAGGAGGAGGCTGTCCTACCACTCCCAGCTTCCTCCAAGAAGCCTCTTTCCCTCCAGAAATGCCTTCGCAAGCCGACCCAAGAGCATGACTTAAAGTCAGTGCTATCTTTCCAGATGTTAAAGACCACATTTGCGCACTTATCTTATAGACCAGTCATTTTAAGTGCTAAGGAAAATAGACCATACGTTTTCAAGACTGCTTCAGGTCCTTACAAAGAGCAAAGGCTGACATCAAAGTTGGTGACTACCAACAACCTGAGCCTACAACTACTAGCTCTGCCATTTCTTGGAAACATTATCTTGCCTTCTGGGGTGCTCTGTGCCATAACCATGTGAATGTTGTTTGAGGTGGTGGCTAGCCAGTGCAAAGTGATAAGTGTGCAAATGTGGCAGAGCTTTTCTCCTGAATCAGATACTATAGTGACCTCTGAGAGAAAACTGAGGGGACAGATGGGGAGGGGAACAGTGAACGTAAATGAAAGCTGTGGCTGATAAAGTACTTACTTAACACACTCTCCTCAGTTTTCACATGTACAAACACTCCTAATGTTTGGTGATGAACCTTTACATCAGGTTAACAATTAAAATGAGCAAGAACGTTCAGCAGTGACATATTGGTCTCTGATCATTGATTAACATTAACTGAGATGAACCTGACCTTCTCCTTCAACCATAACATGGATTTCCAACTTGCACTTGAAATGTCATACTGTCTACCAGCCTAATAGATTCTGACAAATCAGCTCAATATATGATCCGGGAAAGTCGATTAATATACTGATAGATGCTTCGTTTACTCTGAGGCATGCTACCAGAACCTTCAATTCCCAAGGTTTTCACTGAAAGCTACTGTTTATTTTAACAGACTACATGATAAAACAGAAATATTTTGGAATGATAACCTAAGATTTCTCTTGGGTATGGTAACCTCAATTTCTCCAAGTTAATAAATTCACATATACAAAGATGTGTGGCTGGAATCACTATTGTCATTTTAGGAATTAATTTTATTCCAATGTATTCAGTGCAACTGTTATGTACAGCACTTGCTTTAGCAGCGAAGTCAAGGTTTAAGCAAACCACCACGAATTCATTTCCCAGCCTGCCCCCACAGCGGTGCAGCACACTTGGAATGGCTGTGCACCCACCACTCACTGCCCTGCGATCCCTTTTCTAGAAGAATCCAAGTCTTCAGGAGATTGATGTGTTTTTTACCACTCCACCATGCTAACCCCGTAAATCCATAATGCAACTGTAGCCAGAGGGAGGGGCCTGGGGAGAGGACACTGAGATGGACTTCTGCCATGTGGTTTCTATGCTCTTCAAAAGAGCAAAGTGGGAAACACAGAGCCCATCCGCACTGAGCACCTCCTGCAGAGACTGGCACCGTGGAAGAGCGGCAGCTGGGACAGTCAGCGACTCCCCAGCCCTGGGGCCTCCCACCGTGGCACTCCTCCTTCCTAGCATGTTGCATAAGGTACGCTTCTCTCTTCACTGTCCAAGCTCTCTGAGTTTCTGGTTTCTCTTCCTCAGGCTTGATCCCAGTAGAACTTAGAGTCTAGCAGCAAACGTGACAGCACTAACTCCTGTGCCATAAAGACAGAGGCCTGGTGGCATGAAGCCGCTCAAATCCCTAAATCAAGGCCCTAATTTAGCAGAATCTGTTCTTCTTTCTCTCTCCCTTCCTCTGTTCTTTCCTTCCTTTCTTTCTTCCTTCCTTCCTTCCTTCTCTCCCTCCCTTCCTCCCTCTCTTGTCTCTGATAAATATCCAAATACCATTACACCCCACCGAAGTCAATGCACACTTTCCACTTCACACACATGATCTCTGTAGTAAGGAACAAGGGTAACAACTGAGTTTTCTTGCCGATTTTTTAGAAACAAACCAGTAAAACAAGATATCATCTCATGCCTCATTAATCAATGATAACCTTAACCAATTCTAAATATTTTATATCTGAGTTTTTACAGTTTTTGTCCTATATTGCTTTATTGGAGTAGGTCTCTAAGGGGCAATAGGTGACAAGTTAGTTTAATCACAGAAGCTAAATTATAAACTATATGAACAGAGAATTAATGTTTTACTCTCATCTGGAAGACCATGAGTTTGAAGAGCCTGTCTGTCATGGCCCACAGTAAAGAGAAAGTATTAATTTGCCCTGACTTTCACAATCACAGACAACTCCCTAGTTTCACTTCTCTGCTCTTACTACTCTTACCCCTACTTATGGGAGGCCCCAGCTTAAGGTGGTCCAAGTGCAAGCCTAGCAAGAATGAGGAGCCATCAGCTACAAGAGGTTAGAGACTTTCAGAGAGACTCAAGGAAGACACAAGTCAGGCTGCCTCCCAACCAGCTTCAAGGCCCTGGTCTTGAAAGGAGCTGGCTGGGCGCTTTAGGATGGAAAGCAAGCACTGCTGGTTTTTCAAAATCTACCCTCCAAAGAGCAGCATGCTAACGTCACTGCTGGAGCAGCCATGTACTAAAGGGCTCCTGCAAAATGAGGGGCTAGAAATGATAATCGTTCTCTAAGGCCTCTGTCAACTTTAAATTCTAGGAATTGCATGAATTCACTCTCTGCCATTATTAAAAGATGTAAATGACTATTTGCAGTGACACAGAACATTTATACTGTTAATATCCCCAAAGAACCAGTTCTTGTTATCATCAGAGAAGAGGGAAGGTACTTTCTGGTCCCCACCCTGTTTCCATGGAAGAGAATCAGGGTTATCAATCACCTGATTGATTGGTTGTCTAGTTATCCAAAACATGACCTTAAGAATGAAATGAAACTTGCCATTTATCTTCTCTGGGGATATATTAATAAAAGAAAACGCGGCTTTGTGATTTCTGTCACATCCTCAGTGGCTGAGGGATAGGGCAAATACTTACTGTGCTTTGTAATATCCTGGCCACCGAAAGCTCATTCTGAGATGATGAAGCTGACGCAGGGATCTGATTGTCGGAGGCAGAGCCAGGATCTGAAACGGGCACTTCATTTAGACCTTCTGGCAGCTTGCTGTCAGGTTCACTCGTGGAATCCAGCTGTGCAGCTCTCAGTGCAGCGGATAAAACCTGAACTTGAGCTGCAGTGAGAGAAGTTCCCAGAATTAGAACAACTTTGTGTGGGTTATGGGGGCTCATTTCAGAGAAGCGTGCGCCGTGCCATGGGGTGCGGGCAGTACACAGACAGGCAGGCCTGTTCCTGTGCCGAAGTGCAGGGCATCACGGCTCTGGAGCCTCCTCCGCAGGCTGCAAAGCTAGGGCCACGAGGAGCAACCATTTCAACTAAGTGCAAGCTACGTACCAGACATCCAATCTGAACTTGAAAAGCCTCAATCGGAAAACCAGAGTTTGACTCCACTGTCTTCCACAGAAAGATAATACATTACTGAACAGCGATGGCTGGGAGGTACCCCACACTGGCAAGGGGTGTCCTTCTCCTCATTTATTTATTTTTTTGGTTGGTTTGTTTGTTTGTTTGTTTGTTTTCCAGTACCGGGAATTGAACTCATGACCTTGCGCTTGCCAGGCAGGTGCTGTGCCACTGAGCTAAATCCCCAGCCCCTTTCTCCCCATTTATGAAACAGGGTGCTACCTTCTCTGCTACACACACACACACACACACACACACACACACAGAGCGCGCCTGTACATGAGTAAACCAATTTAGTCAGTAATGATCTTACTAAGCTCCCAGGGCTACCTGTTCTTCTGTCTACAAGATGGCTGAGCCTGTACAATAATAAAGATGACATATTTCACATATGCTTCCATAACAATAAAACTGCATGTTTTCATGTCTCCAGCCTCCCAATACACACCAACTAACTCTGGCATCCTATTTTCCACCAGTTAGATTCAACATACCCTAAAACTCATTACAATGTTTGGAACTTATAGCTGGCTTACGATAAGTCCCACCATGCCCAGGGCAAGTCCCATCTCCTCAGAGAAACATACAGGTCCTTCCTAATGGCCTGAGGGACATTCTTTGCTATGGTCAGCTCACAAACATCATTTTTTTTTTCTGAATCTTTTGGATTACAGATCCTTTTAAGATCTAAGGAAAAGATCTTACAAAGAAATTAAGTAGCATATACATGTAATACACTATAAACAGTGGCTTTAAGGAACTAAAAGAACTCTCTAGAACTCATCTCCCAACCTCCCTTGATAGCAGTTCCCCATCTTCCCCAAGCCCAGGCTCAACTCCACCTGCTCTGTGACGTCTTCTCCCACATATCTGCTGTGCCCCCAGGAAAGATCAGCTTCCTCCCTGTGCTTCCGGAACACATCATGTCCCCGTCCTCACCACAGCCTACGTGGGGCTGCTGCACAGTCTCCTCAACCAGACCCCCAGGGCAAAACGTGCCCATCACTGCTGCCTGGCCCCCAGCTGAGGTCCTAACACTGCAGATCAGACAAATCCAGTAATGTGTTTTCCAAAAACAGACCTTTGTCTATGGCTATTAGATGTGATATGTTACACGTGCTCATTCCTTCAGCAAACACTGATTTAATTTCCTTCATAAGCTTAAGGACAAAGAATAATCACAAGGCTAACTAGATCTTCACATTTCCCTTCCCGAAAGCTTCACAAATCTTCATCCAGCAACAGCACCAAGTGTTGTTTTTTCCAATTTCTCCAACTCGAGGAAGAATACAAATATAGCACTGTTTAGAGAAAGAAGAGTCGTGATAATGGATATGGATTGCAAGGTCTGGCTCTCAGATCAGACGCTCAGTGGGAGCACTAGTCATAAAATGAAAAATACCCCAAAGAAGAAGTTGTACTTTTCCAAGCAGTACAAAGGCAGAAACCTTAGAATTTAGCTAAGGGATGATTTAATAAGCTCCTAAAGGAACACCACCCTTAGCTGTTCCTAACTAGAAAGGGCATTAGATGTGGGAAATGACGCCATAGCGCCCAAGAAGCTAATGAAAGGCCCACTCCCCCCACGGCTACAGATCTGTTCTATCAGAATTGACTTCAGGCTGTGCATATCTGTCTGCAGAACAAGGAGGCACAGTCCTCGCACGGGTCCCACACGCAAACGTCTCTGACTCCGCTGGCCGTGGTGAGACTGAACCAGTCTCTTCCCCACGCACGTACAGTATAAACAAACACAGGAGACACATGCACCAGGACACAGGCCTAAGGAAGAAGGAAGTGGCCATATGCAATGTACAACACAGAAATTTTCTCTTCCATTTTCTCCTTAATGACAATGAGTATATTTACCTTGAACATCTGGATCATTTACCATATGCTCCTGTAAACTCTTGAGGACTTTCTGAATCTCATTCCTGGCCACACAGCTGTCGTACACAGTCTCAACTCTTGTGCAGCCCTCTTCCTGAACCCTAGCCTCGCTCAGAAACAGCTCCATGTCCTTGCTTATGTCAGGGAGAGGAGTTCGCCAATAGAGGACATTACTGAATACATCTTCTGAATTCCCTGGGCGCCTGTTGATGGGGGAATCGCTAGCAGGAGGGAGTTCTGAGATGGCACTGGACTCTGGAGAAAGCCTCGTCCTCTCGTCAGCTCTTGTCACAGCAGGGCTTTCCTTTGGGTTTTCTGTTAGGCCGTTAGAAGGGCTATGGCCATGCTGGAAAACACTGGTTTCTGCTGGTGTCCCTTCCACACGCAGACCTGGCTCTCTCTGCACAGGCTCTGTTAAACTGAGTGAAGGAAAAGGAAGCAGACTTTCAGTGCCACATCATTGTCTGGAGGTAACACGGAGAACCCTGACAAGCTCAGTCCTTCTCCCCTAAGTCATCACCAGCCCCCGACCCCGTGACCCTTGGAGTCACAAAATTAAAGCCTCACGAGTGAGGAAGAGATCAAAGCAGCTCCCTTTGCTCGAAGGGCAGTATGGTGTACATGGGAAACGCTACATGGACGGTCAGCCGACCCTTCACAGAGTTCAAGTGGAGGTGTGTTCTCGCTGCTGCGGAAACTCCTTGCTGCCAAGAGCTAACCAGTTCGCTGCCCAGAGTGCCTCCCCCACAGGCGGGTGCTGGGAAATACAAAGGCACTGAAACTGGCAAGAGCTGGGCACTTGTCACCCACCTGCAAGTCCTGATAGGGACTAGGAGTGGTCAAACCGTATGTGAATATTTAAATAAAATGAGTATCAGTAGAAGACATATCACCATTAATCTTCCTTGAAATCCTCCCCCTTACTTCAAACACACTTACCCGTCACTCTGGCCACTTTGTGAAGCAGGCTTGGAAGTCCTGTTTTGGGAATACCTTTATGAGGTACAACAAAAAATACAGTGAACGCTGCTCCCAAATGCCACCCCATGGAAAGGCAGACTTGAAAAACACAAGTGTGTCCTCATCTACCTAATTCACTGTATCTGACATCACATGAGTTCTGGGCTCTTCCCCCGAGTCAAAATGACCATAAAAGGTAAAAGTTTTGAATCAACACTGGATATTGAGGCAGCCACAACAGCACAACTAAAGAAACAACGGAGGACTTCCAGAACTGCTTCAGAACATGGTGAGAATGACGGGATAAGGGTGTGCAAAGCAAGAGGAAGTATTCTGAGGGCACACCCATGGTAACATGTCTTTTATGTAATAAATCCGTAAAATGAAAAAAAAATTAACATTCACTATACTTTCTGACCATATGGGAGTACTTTCCAATCATGTACGTGGCACCCGGGCCTGACACTTGGCACGAGCTCAATGAACTCTGATGGAGGAAGGAGAAAGGGAAGGCTAAAGCAATCTTAAGAGGATTTGCATTGTCCGAGGTATGAACGACTGTGCTCTCACCCCGGCATGACACTGACAGTGGACAGACATTTATAAACTACATCAAGCGGTGTGGTGGGTACATTGCTCTTAGAAGAAGGATATGAAAAACCCCATGATTTCTCACCATGTTCTGAAATCAGCTGCCATACAAAACACTGTAGGGTTTATTAATGGTGGCCAGGAATGTCACCTTTATGCGCACAGAACATTCAATTTCACAAAAGAACATAGGACTTTGGGAGAATTCACATTTTTCCCTATGTAAATTATCTGAAGAACTTCATTAATCAAAAAGTAAGAGAAAATTTTCTTTATAGGTTATTTAATCACTACTCTCAATGAATATTTTATCTAAATTTAGGAGACACAGTAGCTTCATTATTTATAACCCAGTAGTCAGGTTTCAAAATCATTATTGCAATTACTTTTTGCTTCTTTACATAATTAAAGCTCTAATATTCCATCTTGCCCAGAAGGTCACTATTACTAAAATTCCAGACAAGGTAATTGCTAGAATTCTAGGTGGATGCTTGAGTTAAAGCGTGAGTTCTGACCATGATCTTGCTGGGAGCGTACCTGGTGGGGGAGCCGTTACCATAAGCACCAGGACTAGGTGAGCCAGAGGTAGAGTCGGCCTCCAGATCCTGGCGTGGTGGCCGCATGCTCAGGGTGCCATCTTCGCGGATGTACAGGCCAGCCCTGGAGGGATTTGCAAAGGTGGAAATGAAGGGGCCAAGGGACTGGAAGGCAGCCTGACGCACCTGCAACCAGAGAGAAAGAACAGTGTAGTGGAGGCCAGGCTGACCCCAGGCTGAGACAGATGGCTGATCCCAGACGCCCACAAGGTGGGTCTGCACAAATTTACTCCCTCCCAGTCCAGTCCCTAAATTCCAAAGAAACTATTTTTAACAGAAAATAAGCAGACATTTGGCCCCATTTTGTACTTTTTATTCTTCTAGAATATCAATTCCACAACAAATAATACTTCTTAATCTTCACAGGTAGATATGGCAGTAACACAAAGGCTGACCATGCCGTTACAGCGCTCCCCTCCTCAGTTCTGCTCTCATGACATTCACTTGCTCCAAATGCTGCCGTATTCTTTCTCAATATTCTTCCTCACTATCACCTCCATATTTTGGAGATTTTAGTTACCCAAGAATTAGATTTAGCCCTCACAAGACCTAAATCTAGTTATGCCAACCAGTAACTAAAAGGACAAAATACAAGTCCAGAAACTGAAGCAAGGTCCAGAAGTTGGACACAGCTGGACAGGTGGACAGTGCCCAGTGTGGTGACAGTGCCCACAGCACTTACCCATCGACAGGGGTCGCTGAGGAGCCTGATGAAGAGAGGTGAGAGCTGGGTTCTGCGGACCTCGGGGGAGGTGTTGTAGGACACGGCCATGAAGCACTCCGCGCAGGCTTTCCGCATACCCCATACGTTATCTGAGCAGAGCTCAAAAAATTTGAGGAGCTAGCAAAAATAGCACAAAACATAGTTACGCAAATTTGATTACTCTGAGGATGGGTAGAACTAGAACCTGTCTTAATGTTGTAGTAAAGACAACCCAGAAAATAAGAACAAAGGGAAATATACAGCGCTCTAAAAGGAATCATTTGAGACAAATAGAAAGTGTGATAAGTAGAAGTAACATCTTCTTCACCTACTAACTTTAGTTAAGTGACGTGGCTAAGTTTAATAAAATAGAGAAAACTCCGAAGAAGCAGAATGACACATTCATCACATGAAAGGTAAAGATTACAAAAGACTGAAACTTAGTGGATGTCCCAATTAGCTTGCTCAACTATCACTGCCTCACTAGGCATTACACATCTCTGTAGAGATGGAAAGTTATTACAAACTGATAGTAACACACGTAACTCCTACTGCAGAAACGCGAACCGCGTCCAGCAGAATGCAATCGATCAACATCCTAGACACTGGCCAGTTTTGAATCTTTTTGTAAGTTCCCTTTGGTATTCCTTAATTTGACTGGAAATATGGGGTACTCTGAAGTCTCCATTAAACATTTTACTGGTTTCCCTCAATTCATAAATCAGTTAAATATAATCTTGGGGTTTTTTGCTTTTTTTTTTGGCTTTTTGAGACAAGGTTTTGCTATGTAGTTGAGGCTGGCCTCGAACTCACAGCAATCCTCTTGCTTCAGTCTCCCAAATGCTGGGATTACAGGAATGTGCCACTATGCCTAGACGTTAAATATAATCTTTGACATATGTTTATTCATATTTACATGAAGGTCATGATTATATTTTCCTTTACAATTCAGCCTTGAAAAGGCTCTGATTTTCGGTCTGGGGATATATAGCTCAGTGGCATAAGTGCCTGCCTGGCATGCACAAGGTCATGAGCTTGATTTCCAGTACCAAAAAAAAAGGCTCTGATTTTAATATCCTAATATAAAATAGCCTAAAATGCTTCCCAAATGGGACTATGATATGGTCATAAGAAATACCCATCTAAACAACAATTACCATGTTTGGCCACTGCTGTTCTTTATTCAGATATACAAGTGGAAGATAACACTCCTCAAATTGTCTGCTTGGGTTAGAACTATGTTGACATGGCTTAGATGTCCAATAAAACAAATGAAATTCTGAACTTAGATTTTAAAAATAATTTAAAGTTTATACTCTTTAAGGTTAAATTCCAACCATGCAGGTACTGTGTTCTGTCAAATAACAGTAAAAAATGGTTTCTGAGCATTCAGCTGTCCTCTAGGTGCCAGGCACCAGGTAAGCAATGGGGAAACAAAGGTGAACCTGATGGGGCCCTACCCTCGAGATCTCCATGCACAAAGCTCTCATGGGGTACTCTGAACAAAATCTAGCGGGTCGGGGGAGAGGAAAACCCTCTGTAGTGCAGTGGGGAGGGGAGTCTGGACAAGGAGGGAATGTTACAGACTGGCCTCAAGCTGGGTCCCACCAGGCAGGGAAGACACTTAGGGGCAGGGGTAGTAACAAGCAGAGGCCTAGAGGGTGAAATAGCAGGAAACTTCAAGGAAGCTGAAAGCCCTGGCTGGCTGAAGTAGTTTTCTACTGTGTTGTGCATCAGAATCAGATGAGAATTTATCAAATATACAGATGACTGGGTTCTCCTCTTTTCCCCCAGGACCCCCAGGACCCAGATGCCTGGCCAGAGGTAAAACCCACACAGGCCAGGGTAGTGTACAGAACAGAGAAAGGTGATGAGGAGTGAGAAAGGATATTTATTTGTAAAGGATATAAATTTGTAAGGATATTTATTTGTCACTGAAAGGCCAGTGACCCACCATCCGAGAAAAAAATTCCAATAGTTTGAGGCCCAAGGGCAAGGTGCTAGACTAGAATGAGCAGCGCAGAGGGGACAGAGGGGACAGAGGGACTTAGACACTGATAAGAAACAAAGGAGTGTGAACATAAGGAGGCAGCAGCAAATTCCAGAGGCAAGAGGCCTGAGGTTGCTTCCATCCCATTCCCCACGAGAGCTGCCTAGCGCTTAGGAAAATGGGTAACTGTTGAGAAATTTGATACTGATGAATGTAAAACTGAGCCGCCGTTCCAAACAATAGACTCCTAAGCATAAAGCCTTACAACTGCTTCAGAAAGCGCACTACGAAGTACATGAGCAATCAGGACTGAAAAAACTTCACATACCAAAAATTTCTCCGTGGCTTCTTGTCCAACAGCATGACAAACATCACCAAAATTTGTAGCACACACCTTAAGAATGCAAAAGATATACCCATTATTCTTATCTTTCCTTTTTTATCTTAACAAATTGTAAAAACTAACAAGCAGGGACCTAGAGAGTAATTACCCATTTTGTGGGGCAGTTAACAAGCCCTTACCAAGCCCAGCACCCACATAGCACCTTGCGAGGTGCCTCTGCTGCATCTCAAACACAACGTTTACAAGTTACCCAATTCTAGGGTTTTTCTGGCTCTTAACTGATCTTGATACATAATGCATTTGGTTAGCAACAGGGAAAGAAGAGACCTATTACAGTCTCTGCCTACTAAGGGAGGCCACCATCTTGGCCACGAAATATGTGGAGAGGCCAGAGGAGCAAGGCCTGAAGGCAGCAAGGTGGAGGCTCAGGCTGCTTAGGGAAGCACAGCAACAGCTTCCAAAGGAAGAACTACAATGAAGTGGTGAGCAACTACCAGAGAAGCTGGGACTGGGCTTGGAAGGTACAGCAAAGAGGGTTCTGACACGAATCACCCCCAGAAATCAAAGAGCTCGCAGGTCTGTTGAACAACACCTAACCATCAGCCAGCAAGATCCCATTCCTCTCACCCTGCACCCAAGAGCAGCCGATCTGCTCACAGAAATTCTCATCTCCAGGTCTCTAAGTACTTCCCACTTGCAATAAAAACTACAACACTGTTCAGATTCTTTGCTTACACAGTTCATGCTGGCCACATTTTTCTCCAGACCGTGGCTACTGAACAGCTAGACAGAAACCTCAGAGGAACTGATTTTGAACATTTTAACTAATATTTTGAAACCAATATTTGAAACTTTTATGTTCCCACCTTCCGAACTTGAAAGAGCTTCCCATCACCACACAGTTCACAGAACCGAGGGAGTAGCAGGCGTTCAACTGTGCTCTTACTCACCATTGAAGCCATTTTGCAGATTATCTGTAAATAAGAAGAAAAGCGGAGTCATCTGAAAGACCAAAGCATTCAAATCACATGTATCACCAACAAGATGAGTATAATATGAGTAGCAACTGATTTCCAAGAGAAACAGGAGACAACAGAATGATTTTTTTAAAGCATGCAAAAGGAAGAAACACCCAACCTGCCAGCCTACAATTCTCTATCAAGCAGAACTATAACTCAAAAATGAAGGTGACTAAAGACACAGATAAGCCAAAACAAACTTCACCAGCAGCTGACCTAAACTATAAGAAGTACTACAAAGTAAGTTCTTCCAGACGAAGGGAAATGACACCAGATGATAACTCAGATCTAGGAAAGGACAATCCCCCAAAAATGGTAAAAATAAGGGCATAAAAGGCTATATTTTTTTCCTTCATTAACTTCTTAAAAAATTTTACACAGATGGAATGACATTTGTACTTGCATTCATTTAAAGGACTTCACTGTCTGTCACATGCCCCATAGTCTGGAGCT